AAACTTATTACTATCGAGTTTTGCAATTTTAGGTACTTATACTAAGTGACATATAAATCCGAATACCCAGTTTAAATGGTTTTATTTTAATAAAAGTTGGTGAATGTATTTATCTTACTGTAAATAACAAGTGAAAAAATTTTCAGCCTTATCAGTTGGACATTCCGGTTTTTATACTGCTTTTTTTTAATTCACTAACGCTCTAAAAATGAATATTTCAGCCGCAGTAAAGAATCAACGTTGGCGGATTTTGGTTCTTGACATCCCTTACGATCGGTTACGATGCCTAGAGTACGGAGACCTGTACGATTTCGTCAACTTAGTGAGTTTGATAGGGGCCGTATAGTGGGACTTCGGGAAGCTGGACTTTCTTTTCGGGAATTGCAGTTAGAGTACAAAGAAGTGTAGACACTGTGGTTAGGTATTGTCAGGCATGGCTTCGAGAAGGTCGTACGCAAAGAGCAAGGGGCACTGAACAACAGACCGTGAAGATCGCCGCCTAAGATTATTGGCCTTAAGGGACCGTTTCTCCACTACCAGGTCCATTGCAAATGAATGGTTTGCAGAACACGGATGACCTATTGGCATGCGAAGTGTTTACCGACGAATGAAAAGTTTTGGCTTGTTTTCATACCGGCCACACTGGGTCCTCCCTTTAACTCGAGAACACCGACGTAATCGCCTTGAGTGGTGCAGACAACGGTCACTCTGGAATCAGGAATGGAACAGAATTGTCTTTAGTGACAAGTCTCGATTTTGTTTAGGCATGCACGATGGTCGTGCCAGGGTTATAAGGCGACGTGGTGAAAGGAGGAATCCACAGTTTTTTGTTGAAAGACATGTTCATCACACTGTTGGAGTTATGGTTTGGGGTGCTATAGCTTATGGTTCCAGGTCACCTTTAATCTTCATCAGAGGTAACATGAACGCGCAGCGTTATATCCACGAAGTTCTAGAACCCCATCTTTTACCCTATCTTGACACCCTGGCAGATCCAACTTTCCAACAAGATAATGCCCGACCACATGTTGCAAGAGTCACAATAGACTTCTTTCAACATAATGATGTCACATTGTTACCATGGCCACCAAGATCTCCCGACTTATCCCCAATTGAGCACGTGTGGGATATGATGGGTAGGAGATTGCTCAATTTGCAACGTCCTCCTCAGACTCTAGAAGCACTTCGAGAGGAGTTGGTGGTTGCCTGGAATGAGATACCACAGGAGGACATTGACCACCTGATCAGAAGCATGCCTAGGCGCGTTGGAGAATGCGTAGCACATTAGGGTGCATCCACACATTATTAAAGGTCAAAGGGCTTTAAAGCAGTGCAATCATTTTGAAATTTTTATCATTTACTTATTATGCTTCATTAAGTACTTATACAAAATTTTATTAAAATAAAACCATTTAAACTGGTGTTCGGATTTATATGTCACTTAGTATATATTTTTTGAAATTATCTTAGCCAAATTTTCATTTAGAACGGTCGCCTCTAGAAACCTCTCACTTCAAAAAGGTGTTAACGTGTTTTTTCAAAAATATTGTTACGGACGCAATTTTGATAAAAAAACTTGAAAAAATGACCGATGCTACACTGTTGTATCCTACATACCTTCTTTTTTTATAGATTTGTGGAACCTATAGATCCGAGAAAAGCATTATTATATTATATCTGCTGTATTTCCTTGCTTTCTTGCGATTTTAGGTCCAATAGCAAATCACTTTTGCCCGTAAAATCATCAAAAATCAGAAAAGCCGCGTTTTTATCGATTCTTCAATTTCTCAATCTCCAATTTTTTACATTTTAAACGTATGATATTGGCTAATTAAATTTAAAAACCCAACGTATATATGTATTTTTGTATATTCTTTTAGGTTCCACAATCAAAATATCCGATATGCTTCCCGGAAAATCGCGATAATAAGAAAAAACCCATTTTCATTGATTTTCTTCAGTTTTTCATGCTTGTGGTTGAGAAAAAAATAGTTGGCTAACCTGATAACGTATTGTATACAAGAATTTTTTACATCCTTTTCAGTTCCGCTGTTAAAATAATGATTTCTTAATCCGAAAAATTGGCAAAAATTGGAGAAACTTATTACCATCGAGTTTTCCAATTTTAGGTACTTATATTTGTTTAAATTATCTTAGCCAAATTTTCATTTAGAATGGTCGCCTCTAGAAAAATCTCACTTCAAAAAGATGTTAACGTGTTTTTTCAAAAATATTGTTACGGACGCAATTTTGATCAAAAAAACTTGAAAAAATTACCGATGCTACACTGTTGTACCCTACATACCTAATTTTTTTATAGATTTGTGGAACCTATAGATCAGAGAAAAGCATTATTATATTATATTTGCTGTATTTCCTTGTTTCTTGTGATTTCAGATCCAATAGCAAATCACTTTTGCCCGTAAAATCATCAAAAATCAGAAAAGCCGCATTTTCATCGATTCTTCAATCTCTCAATCTCCAATTTTTTACATTTTAAACGTATGATATTGGCTAATTAAATTTCAAAACCCAACGTATATATGTATTTTTGTATATTCTTTTAGGTTCCACAATCAAAATATCTGATATGCTTCCCGGAAAATCGCGATAATAGGAAAAAAACCATTTTCATTGATTTTCTTCAGTTTTTGATGCTTGTGGTTGAGAAAGAAACAGTTGGCTAACCTGATAACTTATTGTATACATGAATTTTTTACATTCTTTTCAGTTACGCTGTTAAAATAATGATTTCTTAATCCGAGGAATTGGCAAAAATTGGAAAAACCTATTACCACCGAGTTTTCCAATTTGAGGCACTTTTAAGATTTGATATCATAACTTGGCTAACCAAAAGCTCGTGAGCGTATGTGTTTTTATGCATCTTCCAGGTTTCTTTGATAAAATTCTGATTTGTTGCACGGGAAATAGCGAAAATCGATAAAATCGCATTTTCGCTGAATTTATTCAAATGTTTACGTTTCTAGTCATGTCACTTCCATGGTTAAAATAATTATTCCTTGTCCGAAAATCGGCAAATAATGGATAAATTGCATTTTCACCGATTTTACCAAATTTGGACATTTCGCTAACTCAAAAACTTAATCTATGCACATGTGTATAGTAGGTGTTTGAGTTGGCCAAGCAATCCTTTTCTGACCTATAATGTTAAAAATTGAAGAAAATTAGCGAAAATGCGGTTTTACTCATTCAAAATTTTCCGCACCACTAATCACAATTTTAACAATGGATCCTGGAAGAATAAACAAAAGCACATATGCATATTGGGTATTTGAGTCAGCCAAATTATAACATACGACCCTAAAAATGTCAAAAATCGAGAAAAACAGACGAAAATTCGCTTTTTCCGCATGTTGTCAAATTTTTTGACAAGAAATCATGATTTGGACAACGAAACTGGAAACAACTTAAATAACGCATTCATACAGTGTCAGTCAAATATGTCTTTCCTGCAATGCAATGTTAAAAATTGAAGAAACTCAGCGAACAGGCAGTTTATACTATTTTCGCAATTTTCCTGAAAAAAAAATCATAATTTTGTCAATTGAACATGAAAGAATGCACACAACTACATATGGACATTGGGCTTTTGAGTTAGCGATCTCATGGTACATATCATACTCAAAATATCTAAGACTGGAAAAATGAGAAAAGCGTAAAAAAATTCTTGATACATTGCTTTTTGAGGTGGATTTTAGAAACTGACGAAAGTCAACGGAAGAAGCCCTTCATGTCATATGAGTATAGAAATTATTACTAACCGCACAATCGTCTCATAATAAATTGAATTTACATCCACATATTAATGCGGTAGAATTCTGACAAAAGTATTTTAAACGAAAACCGATTCACTGGACGCCTTATCTGATGAAAAATCGCTTACAAAAATGTCTCCATGTATTCAATTCCCGAAACATTTTGAAGATGTCGTTTACAGCATACTGTCAACCTATCCGATAACGTAATCTAAACTTCTAACGTATCTTCCAAACATTACCAGGAAGAGTCATATTCCAAGTTCTTAATGAACTGCGCGCTCCTTTGAATTACGGAAGACCTATTGGCATGCGAAGTGTTTACCCACGAATGAGAAGTTTTGGCTTGTTTTCATACCGGCCACACTGGGTCCTCCCTTTAACTCGAGAACACCGACGTAATCGCCTTGAGTGGTGCAGACAACGGTCACTCTGGGATCAGGAATGGAACAGTATTGTCTTTAGTGATGAGTCTCTATTTTGTTTAGGCATGCACGATGGTCGTGCCAGGGTCAGAAGGCGACGTGGTGAAAGGAGGAATCCACAGTTTTTTGTTGAAAGACATGCTCATCACACTGTTGGAGTTATGGTTTGGGGTGCTATAGCTTATGGTTCCAGGTCACCTTTAATCTTCATCAGAGGTAACATGAACGCGCAGCGTTATATCCACAAAGTTCTAGAAGCTGATCTTTTACCCTATCTTGACACCCTGGCAGATCCAACTTTCCAACAAGATAATGCCCGACCACATGTTGCAAGAGTCCCAATAGACTTTTTTCAACATAATGTCATATTGTTACCATGGCCACCAAGATCTCCCGACTTATCCCCAATTGAGCACGTGTGGGATATGATGGGTAGGAGATTGCTCAATTTGCAACGTCCTCCTCAGACTCTAGAAGCACTTCGAGAGGAGTTGGTGGTTGCCTGGAATGAGATATCACAGGAGGACATTGACCACCTGATCAGAAGCATGCCTAGGCGCGTTGGAGAATGCGTAGCACATCAGGGTGCATCCACACATTATTAAATGTCAAAGGGCTTTAAAGCAGTGCAATCATTTTGAAATTTTTATCATTTACTTATTATGCTTCATTAAGTACTTATACAAAATTTTATTAAAATAAAACCATTTAAACTAGGTGTTCGGATTTATATGTCACTTAGTATACTTGTGCTGTTATACTTTAAATGTCACCACGTTAGACACAGACAAAGACGGCTTTATAAGGTTAATAGTAACTTGACGAACCTGGAAAATGAAAAACGCTTGAATTTATGGCAAGTTAAATTCCATACCTGGAATCCTGACCCTCTTGCGTCAATTTGTGCTACAATATAATTCCTAGTACTTGAGAGGTACCATGGCCATGACAGCTCCCATTTGGAAGAAACGGCTTGGGAAGACGGAGCGGCATCACTAAGAAAAGGAAAAATAATTTTATGAAACAAAAAAATATATATATATATATATATTGAGTTTAATCTTCGTTGAAATGCTTGTATCCGTTTGAGCATAGCTTAAGTCAGGAAATGAGGTATGTAATGTAACCAATTTTCACAAAGCACCAAACTGAGTGATTGGCAGTGGATGAATAAGTAATATATCTACAGCAGGGAGTAGGCCCAAAATTAACACTGAAAGTTCATATAAATAAGGACCCTAAAATAACCCTCAGAACTCTTTCAGCCCCAAAATTTGCCTGTATTTGCTCATTGGATTCAGACCTTGAGGATAAACCTAAGGTAGGTATTCCAGAAGTCAAGTTAGTATCTATCAAAAATCAAATCAAAAATCAAAAGGGGCATTACTTTTTGTTTTCTGAAAATATTCATAAATTACCCTTATTTATGGGTTGAAATGACGCTGACGTTCGATACTCCCTCCGAATTTTAAATGTCCCCTAATTTCCAGGATTATTTGACGCTAATCAATTGCTTTGGACAAAGAACTGAAGCGCATAAAATTTGATCATCCACAACTACCCCAAAGTGCTTCAAAAGGGGCAAAAAAATAGGTAAAAACACCAAAAAGAGCTGTAACTTTTGAGTTCCGCCAAATTTCGAAGTAATTATTCGAGATTACCATTATACGAGCCCCTTCCCACTTCAGTTGGGCCAACTATTGAAATCTTAGTTTTTTTCTTATCAAACACAAATAATAAAAATGTAGCAGGGTGTTATAGGTTTAAAATATTAACAATGAATATTTTGATAATATATAGTAGAAAACACCAATTTTATCACTTCCTAATCAAATTTGCAGCATAAAAATAACACATGTTGCAATTACAGCATATCAACCTATTTTCATTTCAATGCAAAATAATAATTGTTAGAAGATATAACGTAACTGGTTCAGTTAATATTAAGCCACGATATGTGAAAAAAAGTAATATCAGAAATGCCGACCGAAGATCATTAAGAAGAATAATCGTGAAAAACAGGCGTGCCAATTATTTACAATTATGTGCTCTGTGGAGTGACGGTGTTGGAAGGAGAATTTCGAGGTCCACAACTCATAGAGAGGCCCACAAACTGGGATTTACCACTTGCAATGTAAGTTTTCTTATAAAAAAAGTGAAGTAAAAACCCTAAAGTTGCACAACTTGTTTATAGGCCAAAGAAAATCCACTATTAACTCCACTGCAAAAGAACAATCGGCTTAGATGGGCTAAAGAACATAGACAATGGACACCTCAACAATGATGTGCAATACAATGGAGTGATGACGCCCGATTCGAAGTTTGTGTTGGTGACAGTCGCAGTAGAGTTATTCCCAAAAAAAATGAAGCATTCCATGTTGACTGTCTGAAGAGAAAAGTGAAATTTCTAGCATCCATTATGGTCTGGGGCAGTATGTCATCAAAAGGAGTAGGAAAACTTCATTTTATTGATGGAAATGTGGATACAAACAAATATTTGGCAATTTTAGAAGAATCGCTTTTACCAGTGATGGAAGAATGTTTGACATCCGGCCAAGATTTTGTGTTTCAGCAAGATGGTGCAGCGTGCCATACCTCAAAAAGGCTATAAAATGGATGGAAGAAAATAATGTACCACTTTTGAAATGGGTTTCTAGCAGTCCGGATCTGTCACCTATTGAAACTTTGTGGCACGAGATGAAAAAGGATCTACGATAACATCCTTCTCGTACAATCACCGAACTGAGACAAAAGCTTCAAGAAATGTGGGATTGTTTTACACCAAATTTTTGCCAAAACTTGGTTAACACTAAGCCCCAAAGAATTTCAGCCGTAATAAAAAATAAAGGTGATGTTACCCAATGGTAATCTTTCAATTTTTGCTTTGTTAACTTTTACGACTAGAGTGTATCTAAAATGTTTTTGAGAAAATAAATTGTTTTAGAAGTAAGTAGTTTCGTCATGTTTAGTTTATAAAGGCATATTTTGGTACAAATCTTGAAGTGAGCCAACTGACGTGGGAAGGGGCTCGTATAGGAACTATGATAGTTTCGCTACTTTGTCGCTCTAGTGCGGCAAACCTGTCGGTTTCGATTGATCCTTGTTGAATTTTGCATGTACGACTGACAGAAATAAAACGCATTTTTTTCGGTCGGTTATAGAAAACATATGTTAGACTCATACAAGGAGAAAGATTTACGGTCTCATATACGTATTATACTCGTATAGCACAATATACGCATATCCGTGGCAGGAACCTGTGGAAGTAAAACACATAAGCGCCATAAAAACCGCCTATATACGCATTTGCTTTTTTATGGCTCAATTCTCTCCCTAACCATCTCACCGTCTCACTAATAAAAGTTTTTTTTTCAAGTGAGCGAAATTGCGACTGCATTTTGTGAAAAGCAAGCAAGGCAACGGAACGTTAAAAACCTATAAAAACTTTGAGGCTGACGTAACGTTTCTGCAGTATAAAGGAAGTTTGTCAAAGTTATCCAAAACTTTCAAATTAAATGCGTGAGGCAGAATGTACAACTTCTTTTACTGTCCGTTTTCTTCTGAGAAACTACGAAGTACGTGGTTTGTGTTACTAATGTTCCCCATCAAGATATCATCAGCGTAGGTTGGAAAAAATGCATAAGGTGGACTTTTCTTAAGGCAAAATATTATGCGGCATACCACTAAGAAGAAAATATGGCGTCAAGTCTACGCACCGCCGTCGTCTGTTCATAAAGGATTAAGGTCAGCGCGATTCAAATTCTTTGAGACAGGTTCGTAGGGCGGTGAGCTTAGATAGCAGGAGTACGCGGATCGAAAACATTTTTAAAGGGAAATCTATGATGTGTGAAACATGGGTAATAGGTGCATAGACCTACTGGGGTTGGGAGGGTATAAACCCCTCACAACTCCCAACCCCCTAATTTTAACCGCTACCAAAGATTTTCTTAAAATGATCAGCTCCCTCTGGAACGTCAAAAAACGAAGTTTGAGCGAATTTTTATTGTTTCCGTTTTTCGCTTTCTTCTCTGCCGCTACCGATGTTTAAAAAGTACAATGCATTTTCGGCCCCGGCATGGTAGTAACCTTGTGTGAAAATTTCATCAAAATCCGAGCGGTACTTCTCACGTTAAAGACGAACCAAGGATTAGCGGGCAGACAGACCGATAGACAGACAAACTGACCGCCGGAAATAACTGACAGTTTTTCGTGACGTACATGTCATATAACGTCCAAGAAACACAATATCTCAATTTCGAAGTTTTTCGCAATTACAACACTTCCTTGCTTAGTGGCGTTGGAAGTAAAAATAGAAGTGGAATCCCTATCTAAATGCGAGACGTCTATCAAAATTCAATGACTTTTGACTGAAAATATCCCTAAGCACAGTGATTATTACGAACAATGTGAAATATTTTGCGTTGTGTATATTATTAAGTATAATGACTGCCGTGCGAGTAGCATACTTACACTAGAAGTATAAGTGGGAAGGTTGTTTCTTCATATTCTCTTAAAACGCCTGGAAGAAATAACCTCACTTGTGCTTTGAAACCGTATTCTATCTCTACAGATATTGTTTTCACTTGCGGCGGTGAAAATTTTCTTACCTAAAAAATTGAAGAAATCAGGTAAGATATATACAAAACAAAGGATATTACACTAACAAAAGGTTCCGAATAAAGTCTTAAGAGAATTGTTATTAAACGCCGTCTTTGAATGAATCTCTCACAATCCATTGGAATATTTTGTGTTCTGCAACGCTATTTTAACACGCTTTTATTAGCTTGCAATGTATGCCTGTATGTATGTTTGTATGTGTGTATGTTTGTGTGTGTATGTATGCTTGTATGTATGTATGTTTGCATGTATGCATTTTTGTATGTATGTGTGTACAAATATATTTGTATGTGACAGATTCTTTCAACCTAATTTTCACAACTTTCAAAAAATGTGATTAACTTGAAAAATTGGTCAAGGGCTGATGATAATAAATAATATTGAAAAAAACATTGAATTAGAAAATTTTAAAATTGGAAAGGAAGTTAATTTGAAACTTTGAAAAATTTGGAAATAATTTCAAGATTAGGAAATTTTGGAAAAAATTGGAAATTTGGTTGAAAACATTTTGAAATTTTGAAAATATATAAAAAATCGAAGCTCTTGATAAGTACTTTTGTTTTCATTTTGGGACTAAACATTCAGAAAATAAATTGAAGTTGAAGTAAGAAAATACAGGCTTTAATAACAAATCAAACTAAAAACCAGACAATAATTTGCAAGTATAGGAGAGTTTGTTGTACTGCAATACAAAGTAAAAAAATTAAGTATGATTTGGAATTAGATCAACACAAAACTAGAATATTAAAATAATTCAATTATAGTAAGAAAGCGTGTGGTGCAATTAACTATATTTTCGACTCCAATTTTCCAGATATCTAGTGAAAAAATAATTGTAACGTTTAATAACAAGCACTACGCTTTTTTACTATAATTAATTTTTACATCGATTTTTTACAAACTAATTAGTCATATATGATTTATGGACTTTCTATTGTAGTAACGCAAACACTCCTATACTTCAAAATTATTTTTTACTTCTTGGTTTGACTTGTTAGCGTGCGTGTTTTGTTCGTTTTTTTTAAACTCTAATTTATTTCATGATGGGATCTTACATGTTTTGTTTTATTGGAACATATGTAAAATATTTCATTGACTATAGGAGTGGCCGTTTCTGCATCCCAAAGTTGCTCTTGGCCTTGAAATTGGTATCATCTACAATACCATAGTTAGTACTTACTTTTCTCCTAAGCTTAAAACTAGTATCCAAAATAGCTCTTCTGGCATTCGTAGAAGTCTTCACTAACAAAACTATAGGTATTTCCGGTCCAAGACATTCTTGGATGTAGTACTTGTAATTTTTGCTAAAGATTACGTTATTGTAATCGCAAGGGTAGTCCAGCCAAAGACTATGACTTATCACAGTTTCATTTAAGTTTTCCGGAAAAGTAGAATTTACATCGATTTCCGGTCTGCAGGTCAGACACTCCCACTCGGGAGGACTTTTGCTGTCCATTATTTTTATCAGATGCCGCATTCCGGGAGAGTTTTCTATTGTTCCTATTGCATATCTGGAAAATAAAATGCACTGATTAAATACAATAATTCACATCGCATCGGTTTTTTCATGTTAAAAAACTATTTATTGTTTCTCAAAATGGTTTCCATCATACGCAAGAACGAATCATCAAACTAGCGCTCCCATTACTGCTAAATATACTAAGTGACATATAAATCTGAACACCTAGTTTAAATGGTTTTATTTTAATAAAAGTTGGTGAATATATTTATCTTACTGTAAATAAAACAAGTGAAAAAATTTTCAGCCTTATCAGTTGGGCATTCCGGTTTTTATACTGCTTTTTTTTAATTCACTAACGCTCTAAAAATGAATATTTCAGCCGCAGTAAAGAATCAACGTTGGCGGATTTTGGTTCTTGACATCCTTTACGATCGGTTACGATGCCTAGAGTAGAGACCTGTACGATTTCGTCAACTTAGTGAGTTTGATAGGGGCCGTATAGTGGGACTTCGGGAAGCTGGACTTTCTTTTCGGGCAATTGCAGTTAGAGCGCAAAGAAGTGTAGACACTGTGGTTAGGTGTTGTCAGGCATGGCTTCGAGAAGGCCGTACGCAAAGAGCAAGGGGCACTGGACGCCGCCGTAGAACAACAGACCGTGAAGATCGCCGCCTAAGATTATTGGCCTTAAGGGACCGTTTCTCCACTACCAGGTCCATTGCAAGTGAATGGTTTGCAGAACACTGAAGACCTATTGGCATGCGAAGTGTTTACCGACGAATGAGAAGTTTTGGCTTGTTTTCATACCGGCCACACTGGGTCCTCCCTTTAACTCGAGAACACCGACGTAATCGCCTTGAGTGGTGCAGACAACGGTCACTCTGGGATCAGGAATGGAACAGTATTGTCTTTAGTGACGAGTCTCGATTTTGTTTAGGCAACAAGATAATCCCCGACCACATGTTGCAAGAGTCACAATAGGCTTCTTTCAACATAATGATGTCACATTGTTACCATGGCCACCAAGATCTCCCGACTTATCCCCAATTGAGCACGTGTGGGATATGATGTGTGGGAGATTGCTCAATTTGCCATTACCATTTAAACTGGGTGTTCGGATTTATATGTCACTTAGTATACAGTCACCTAATGTCTCCCAGCTCGTCTTCCGATGCAAATCTGTGCTCTTTTCGCCGTGATATTTTGTATAAAAAAGTACTACAATTTTTGCGACAGTGAATGTTTTTGATAATATCGTTATATAATTGCTTCATGATGACAAGTTACTGTAACAAGATCTTCGTCCGAGACTCCCGGACCTCTCGCCTTGAATATATAGTTCGGATCTCCAGTCCAATACTTCAATTTCTGGACTGGTCCGAGACCCCTTGAATTTCAAATTCTGTTACCTTTTACTTGTCTTCCTATAGGAGGTAGACTCGCGTAGAACCTGACATAAGGTAATGTAATCTTGACTCATTGAAACACTCAGTTTACGCGGAACGATGCTTCCTCTGTTCTCCAAGTAATCAGAGAATGTGCTAAACGCACGAATGAATACTTTCGGAACCCTCGAACTCAGTTAGCTTCAGTTAATGAAATTAATGGAACTCAAGTTAAAGGAGACTCATTTTTATTAATAATTGAATTACAGACTCAAAACAGCTATACACTCGTGAAGAGTCAAGTAGCAATGACAAAGAACAGTTAACTTCGTAAAACTAATATTCTGGGGAAAAGATCACTGGAGGAGTGAATTACGACTAAGTTAAAAGAAACGGTGACAACTAAATTATAATAAATTTAAGTTTGAACCTAATAGCAAAATTAAACTCTAGAATCTCAACATTACAATGCTAATTAATCAAGCTAATGCATAGAATCCTTAGTTGACTCGGTGTTAGCTTTAGCCAGAAGGGCTAATAAAGATGGGAAAAGCCCCCTTTTAAGTAACTGGAAGTGCTTACTGATGAGAACACAACTTGACACAAATTCTACCAATGCAACACTTATTAACAGCCACTAATTGAGGGAAAATCGAAGCAACTTTTTCAAACGTACAAATCAAAGATAAGAGAAGAACTGAAGTTTTTAGTTTCAAAATTATCGGAGGTCAGTTGCGGATTTTCCCCTCCATCAGAAGGCTGGTCATTTTGACTTAGTGAGTTCAGCCCTTGTCTCCTCATTGGTCGATCAGTTTACAACCCTTGCAATAGGCGTCTGATTCTCTAAAGATGGAAACTAACCTGACCAATGATTGTTAGACTTATTTTTTGAACTCAAAATGACCTGAAACTGTATTGGTTAATTACGTTCCCTTGTCCAACCTCAAGGAGTGTCGTCAGCGTACAGTCTTCCCTTAAGTTTACGCAACACGCCCCCTTCAGTGGCGTCTCGAGGCTTTAATTGCTTTGGGGCAAACCCTGCAGTTTTCAATAATTTCAATGGATTGGGAATTCCAGTAATGCTGAGGAAACAATTCGAGATGTCCTCTTAAATAATTAGAAAATTATATATAGCATTTAGGTAAAACTAACGGTGACTCTCTTCTGGAATTTTTTTATATATTTTTAACAAAATTAGCTTCATTGAAACTACGCAGTCTTTCGTTAGTTTCACCTGCTCCTCCCTAATGATAATTTCCAAACCACATCTGTCAACGCGTACGTTAACAGAAGGTAGAATCGTATCCAGCCTGGCGCACCTGCTCCTATCAGCTAGGGGAAAATTCTGCTAAAAACCTAGCTGTTTGTCTCCTCTTTTTCATATTTTCCCACAATCATGACAATTTTTAGTAATATGCCAGCCTTCGGAAGTCTTAGATATCCCATGATACGCCTCTGATGTGTGACCGTTCAGCGCTCGGGGAAATTTCTAACATCTGCTAACCAAATGGTTGAGATTCAAATTTCTCGGCACTCCTTTGTTTCCCTGTTTTTATTCCGGCATATTTGAAAAGTCCAACTTTATAGCATCCGGTTCTATTACCTATTTTCTTCGTAATATGAATTTCCCTTGGCGTTCACTGGGTGGTTTGCAGATGCGAGTGTTTGTTCTGCCCTTAGTTTTTAGTAGGCGGCATGACGAATTATTTTAACGAATTTAGAAATTGATAACTTGGTCGTCTACATTACGCTACTACTACTTCTTTTATAAATAATAAAATTTGCTATAAAAAGTGTCCTTTACTTTTTTTCGTCACCTTGACGATCCTTGTAGTCTAAGGAGTTAAAAATTTCTCTCCCCTACTCAAACTTAGTTATTAGGTGTACTATTACTAGAGGTATTCCAACTCGTATTATTTCACTTTTATCCTAAAGCCAAGAATGTGGTCAAGGGCTAGTTGTATCGGAGACTAGAAATCAATCATAAAATGACGCCAATTGGATTGACTCTGGACGTCCCATGCAACGTTGGTCATTGGTTCATAAAGGATTATACCCGGTGAGAAAAAGGTTAGCTACGAACCTTTATAAAAAAAAATTAAACGGATCAGTCTAACAGGCCCATACAATTAGTCCATAGACATTCTTTCTGTACCCTATCGATAGTACCGTCCATCTGGCAACGTCGCCCCTGGCCTTTACCACACCACATGATGCGTCAGACTCGGCAGCGCGGCAGTAACGGCAGAACACTCATGGACATCGTGACGCCAATGAAACACAGAGAGCAGAAGCACCATTCTAAGTTTGAAGGGCAAGTGTACATGGAAATCTATGATGTATGAAATACGATTAATATATCATGTGCGGGTAATTATCGGGACTTCTGAGAGTGGATACCTTTGTGACAACAATTGAAGAGCGGGCGATCAAAAATTGAAGAGCGCCAGGGGTTCAAAAAAAAATTAGTGGTCAATATCAATTCGCCCAGGGAACGGGTTACATTTCACAGAAGGCATAAGTTGCTGTATTATACAGGGTGGCCCAGCCATGTGTGGACGGAATATTACTCATATACAAATTTGGGAAAATCTATTTTAGGACATGACATTTGAGGGCACATTTCAAAAATATTGGCTATTATACAGGGTGTCCCAATTTCGGCATACATATCAAAGTTGTGATTTTTCAATTAGAATGCCTCAAATTTTATTGCATATTTCGATAAACCAATTCTAAAGAAGAAAATTGATATAACATCCCAACTAGCAAAGTAGTGGTATAAGCTTTTGGTAAAAGAACCATTGAGCCATAAAAGCTCTCTATTGTTGTTGCCTGAACACTAAAATGCTGGCCTTATGTTGTGTGGAATGCAAATTTGCTTTCTGCAACATATTTGCTCTAAAATGAAGTGTTTCAAATATTCTTATAGCATAGTTATACAACACCTTATAGAGCAAATTTTTAACTGTTGCATAAACGTTTATACAACTATTTTATACGGCATATTTGCACGTTAGTCAAAATGGTAGTGTTGTGGCATCTATGATAACGTTTATAAAACAAACCCGAGCCTTGTTGTTTTGCTGTGCAATTTACTACTTGAGCCAACAAATTGCTCCCAACGGAAGCACTTATACAACTGTTTTTAGTAACTGTTAAAGGCTGTACATAGGTATGCATATGTTGGTAAACAACTTCACCATAACCTAACTTTCTGCTGTCATATTTTTGTAAAATGCCATAATCAATGTTTTAAGACAAACAACGCATGCATATTGGTTCAAAAGGTTTTATCAGCTGTTCAAACAGAAGATATAGATCTGGTACAAATTCTGGGTAAATCATTCGACTCTGTCGGTATTTCATTTCAGACATTTGTCAAATTGTTGTATAACACCTGCAGGCAACACCAAAACATTCTAATAACCTAAAGACAACATGGACGATGCCATGATTGTACACAACCTCCCGCCATATTGGGCAAACCTTTATTCCTCTATTTAATATTAAATAATTATGTTTCAGTTCGAAATTACAGATATAAAGTGATAAACATTAGTGTAATTGTGTCTAAATATAGGATTTGTGGAAGATCTAACGCAGATAAGTTCAGTTTTCCATCTTAAAAATCTAGACATACTGTTGATCATTGTCAAAATATGAA